AGCAGCAGCGACACACACACGCACACACACACACGCAGCAGTGATACACACACGCACACACACACACGCAGCGACACACACACGCAGCAGCAGCAGCGACACACACACACACAGCAGTGACACACACACACAGCAGCAGCAGCGACACACACGCAGCGACACACACGCAGCAGCAGCGACACACACGCAGCAGCAGCGACACACACGCACGCAGCGACACACACACGCACGCAGCGACACACACGCGCACGCGCCAACACACGCGCCGTTACCATGCACACCTCGCACAGATCGCGTGTGTGTCCGTGTGTGCGCGCGTCGTGGGGAGCGGTGGTGCGATGGTTAGCGCGCTGCGCTGCGAACCCAGCTACCCAAGTTCAATTGTTCGTTCACGGCCAAGACGAGCGACGATTATCTTCCTGCCCCGGTCCCGGGCCTCCCCTCGGTCGACTCAGCTGTCAATGAGTACAGCATCTGGTGCGATGTGTGAACATCAATCAGTCGAGAGACAAAGGCGGTCGGGCGTGGTGCTTGGCCAACCATCCCCCTGGCGTACCGTTCCGGCCTTTATTGTTAACGGCACTTACCCCAAACAGCCTGTTCAGGCTGTTCGGGCTTATACAGGGGAGAGCTTTGTCTTTGTGCGCGCGCGTGTATGCGTGGAGGTCTGCATCATCCACCCACGCAACTGCGTTACGAAGGCACACACGACCCGAGTTCGACTCCCGGTCACGGGAAAAAACGTGAAATCACAAATGACATCTGACCCTAACATCATGGTGCTCCCCCGAAGGTTGGCTCAGCCTGAAATGAGTGCCTCGCGCGGCGCGTGCACACCGGCGCTGTGCCCTCGGAAGCGGCCGGGCGTGGTGCTGGCACACACCACCACCACCACCAGCACGTCTCGTTGCACCGTATCGGCCACAACAGCAGCTCAACAACAGTTGCTTTCTGCCCACATACTGTCGGCCATATGGGGGGGGGTTGAATCTTTGTCTAGACGACTGCTCGCAATCGGCCGTCCGCGTGTATTCGATATGACACGTGTGACGTATGTGTCGTGGTTTTTATTTCGTTCGCTGGCTGCGTTGTGTGTTGTGTATATGCTGCGCGGTTGTTCTACGAGCGTCGTGTGCTTGTGTGTATGTTGGATATGTGCTCTGCTGTGTCCTCTTCCTGTGCCGTATGCTGCGCGCGCGCGCCTGTGTGTGTGTAGTATGATGTGCGTTCTACATGCTGTGCTGTCTGGGGGTGTATGCTATGCTGCAACGTTCAGTGTCATTCGCTGCGTGTGCTGCCGTTTGCTGTGTGTATAAGTTACCTTGTGCCACGCGTGATTTGCAATGTGTTTTGTGTGCTGTGCCTTGTCCTGTGCCCTGTATGCTGTGTTTGCTATGTGATGTGTATGCTGTTATGTCTGTGTGGTGTATAAACTCTGACATATTTGCGTGCTGTGTATGCTATGCTGTGTAATGTATGCTATTCCATGTTCTGCGTGCGCTGTGCTGGTATGCCTTTTATATGATGTTATGGTGTGCTATGCTTTATGCTATGCCGTGTAATGTGTGTGTGTTATGATTTGCATGCCGGGCTGTGCTTGAGGCTATCGTGTTACTTTTTATGCTGTCCTCTGTATGATTTTATTTGTATGCTACATGCTGTTACGTGTGCTGTTTGTGTACCGCTATTGACTGCTCTGCTGTGTGCTGTGCATTATTCATGTACTGTGCATACTCCGTATATGCTATACTGTGCTATGCTTTACGCTATTCCGTTTCATGTGCACATTATGTATGTTGTGCTATGCTATTCCGTGTGCTGTGTATGGAATTCTGGGCTGTGTGATGTGATATATGGCGTGCAAGTTCGTGTGTTGTATATGCTATGTGTGCTGTGGTGCGAGGTATGCTGTGTTGTGTATGCTACGCTATGATCTTCCTTGTGCGGTATATGCTATATCATGTGTAATTCCACGTGTTGTAGATGCTTTTGTATGCTGTACTACGTGATAGTTCGCGTGGTGTATATGCTATGTATGCTGTGCTACGTGCTAGTCCATGAGCTGTGTATGCTATGCTACGTGCTAGTCCATGAGTTGTGTATGCTGTCCTACGTGCTAGTCCATGTGCTGTGTATGCTGTGCTACGTGCTAGTCCATGAGCTGTGTATGCTGTGCTACGTGCTAGTCCATGTGCTGTGTATGCTGTGCTACGTGCTAGTCCATGTGCTGTGTATGCTGTCCTACGTGCTAGTCCATGAGCTGTGTATGCTGTGCTACGTGCTAGTCCATGTGCTGTGTATGCTGTGCTACGTGCTAGTCCATGAGCTGTGTATGCTGTGCTACGTGCTAGTCCATGTGCTGTGTATGCTGTGCTACGTGCCAGTCCATGAGCTGTGTGTGCTGTGCTACGTGCTAGTCCATGTGCTGTGTATGCTGTGCTACGTGCTAGTCCATGTGCTATGTATGCTATGCTACGTGCTAGTCCATGCGTATGCTATGCTACGTGCTATTCCATGAGCTGTGTATGCTGTGCTACGTGCTAGTCCATGTGCTGTGTATGCTATGCTACGTGCTAGTCCATGAGATGTGTATGCTATGCTACGTGCTATTCCATGAGCTGTGTATGCTGTGCTACGTGCTAGTCCATGAGCTGTGTATGCTATGCTACGTGCTCGTCCATGTGCTGTGTATGCTGTGCTACGTGCTAGTCCATGTGCTGTGTATGCTGTGCTACGTGCTAGTCCATGAGCTGTGTATGCTGTGCTACGTGCTAGTCCATGAGCTGTGTATGCTGTGCTACGTGCTAGTCCATGTGCTGTGTATGCTGTGCTACGTGCTAGTCTATGTGCTGTGTATGCTATGCTACGTGCTAGTCCATGTGCTGTGTATGCTGTGCTACGTGCTAGTCCATGAGCTATGTATGCTGTGCTACGTGCTAGTCCATGAGCTGTGTATGCTGTGCTACGTGCTAGTCCATGTGCTGTGTATGCTATGCTACGTGCTAGTCCATGAGCTGTGTATGCTGTGCTACGTGCTAGTCCATGAGCTGTGTATGCTGTGCTACGTGCTAGTCCATCAGCTATGTATGCTGTGCTATGTGGTAGTCTATGAGCTATGTATGCTGTGCTACGTGCTAGTCCATGAGCTGTGTATGCTGTCCTACGTGCTTGTCCATGAGCTATGTATGCTGTGCTACGTGCTCGTCCATGTGCTGTGTATGCTATGCTACGTGCTAGTCCATGAGCTGTGTATGCTGTCTTACGTGCTAGTCCGTGAGCTGTGTATGTTGTGCTACGTGCTAGTCCATGAGCTGTGTATGCTGTGCTACGTGCTAGTCCATGTGCTGTGTATGCTGTGCTACGTGCTAGTCCATGAGCTGTGTATGCTGTGCTACGTGCTAGTCCATGTGCTGTGTATGCTGTGCTACGTGCTAGTCCATGTGCTGTGTATGCTATGCTACGTGCTAGTCTATGTGCTGTGTATGCTGTGCTACGTGCTAGTCCATGAGCTATGTATGCTGTGCTACGTGCTAGTCCATGAGCTGTGTATGATGTGCTACGTGCTAGTCCATGTGCTGTGTATGCTATGCTACGTGCTAGTCCATGAGCTGTGTATGCTGTGCTACGTGCTAGTCCATGAGCTGTGTATGCTGTGCTACGTGCTAGTCCATGAGCTATGTATGCTGTGCTATGTGGTAGTCCATGAGCTATGTATGCTGTGCTACGTGCTAGTCCATGAGCTGTGTATGCTGTGCTACGTGCTAGTCCATGAGCTGTGTATGCTGTGCTACGTGCTAGTTCGTGAGCTATGTATGCTGTGCTACGCGCTAGTCCATGTGCTATGTATGCTGTGCTACGTGCTAGTCCATGAGCTATGTATGCTGTGCTGTGTGGTAGTCCATGAGCTGTGTATGCTGTGCTACGTGCTATTCCATGAGCTGTGTATGCTGTGCTACGTGCTAGTCCATGAGCTGTGTATGCTGTGCTACGTGCTAGTCCATGAGCTGTGTATACTGTGCTACGTGCTTGTCCATGAGCTATGTATGCTGTGCTACGCGCTAGTCCATGTGCTATGTATGCTGTGCTACATGCTAGTCCATGTGCTGTGTATGCTGTGCTACGTGTTAGTCCATGTGCTATGTATGCTGTGCTACGTACTAGTCCATGAGCTATGTATGCTGTGCTACGTGCTAGTCCATGAGCTATGTATGCTGTGCTATGTGCTAGTCCATGTGCTGTGTATGCTGTGCTACGTGCTAGTCCATGTGCTGTGTATGCTGTGCTATGTGGTAGTCCATGAGCTGTGTATGCTGTGCTACGTGCTAGTCCATGAGCTGTGTATGCTGTGCTACGTGCTAGTCTATGTGCTGTGTATGCTGTGCTACGTGCTAGTCCATGTGCTGTGTATGCTGTGCTATGTGGTAGTCCATGAGCTATGTATGCTGTGCTACGTGCTAGTCCATGAGCTATGCATGCTGTGCTATGTGCTAGTCCATGTGCTGTGTATGCTGTGCTACGTGCTAGTCCATGAGCTATGTATACTGTGCTACGTGCTAGTCCATGTGCTGTGTATGCTGTGCTACGTGCTAGTCCATGTGCTGTGTATGCTGTGCTACGTGCTAGTCCATGTGCTGTGTATACTGTGCTACGTGCTAGTCCATGGGCACAGGATGTCGGGAGCTGTCCAGCCGCGCGTGGTTCTAAAAAACCGAACGTGGCCCCAAGGCGTAAAGCAGCTCTGTTGAGTCGCTCAGAATCTTTAACGCGGATTAAGCCCTCTCGAGGCTCCGTGGTTAGGAGCTGTAACACCCCCACCCCCCCAAAAAAATAAAAAAATCACATATATCGGCGTCTCCCTCCCTCCACACCATCCTCTCTTTCTCTCTCTTTCTACACACACGTATTGCTTACACACAAACACTGTATACGATATCCCCGCGTACAACAATAATCGCAAAAGGCGCGTGCGTGGGCGCCGAGGAGTAACGGGACGCGCCTACCTTGTCCAGGCAGCTCACTTTCTCCGTCGGGTACACGATCTTGTCGCATCTCGCGCACGGAGGGTTCATGACGGCGGGAAGAGCTTCACAACCGCGGCGGTGACGGTGGATGTCGGCAGCTCGGCGCTTGTGCGCGCTCTCTCTCTCGTCTGTGGCTCGCTACCCCCCCTCCTACTCTGTGTGCTGCTCGCTCTCTCGTTTGCTCTCTCCCCCTCTCTCTCCCACTGTGTGTGTGTGCTGTTCGCTCTCTCGTTTGCTCTCTCCCCCTCTCTCTCCCACTGTGTGTGTGCTGTTCGCTCTCTCTCGCTCTCTCGTTTGCTCTCTCCCCCTCTCTCTCCCACTGTGTGTGTGTGCTGTTCGCTCTCTCTCGCTCTCTCGTTTGCTCTCTCCCCCTCTCTCTCCCACTGTGTATGTGTGCTGTTCGCTCTCTCTCTCGCTCTCTCGTTTGCTCTCTCCCCCTCTCTCTCCCACTGTGTGTGTGTGCTGTTCGCTCTATCGCTCTCTCGTTCGCTCTCTCCCCCTCTCGGCCGGATTTTTTTTTTGCTTAACTCTCCCAGCATTCAGCGCGCAATGCACCAGCGGTCTGAGATATTGGCTAAGGGGAGGGAGAACGAGGGAGGGCTTGGGTGGGGGTGTGTTGGGGGGGGGGGATAAGAAAGGGTTGGGTGAGAGAGGATTTGTGGTGGGGGTGGAATCGGGGGGAGGTGGGGTGGAATGGGGGGGGGGGGGAAGGAGGATTTAGTTGGGGGTGGAGGTGGGGGGGAGGGAGATGAAGGAGGCTTGCGTTGGGAGGCGATGAGGATGGATGATGATGATGGGGAGTGAAGAGAGCTATTGAGGAGGATGACGAGGGACGTTCGGGGGGCGGTGGAGAGAAGCAAAAGAAGGGGGTGCTTGTGTAAGGGGAGGTGTTACGAGGGAGCAGGGAGATGGTGTTGTGAAAAGGAGGGAATACGACGGGGAAGGGAGGGAGGAACGAGTAAGCTCGTCGAGGTAGGGGAGATGTTGAGTGAGCGATGACGGGGAGGGAATGGAGAGTAGGAGGGAGGATTGAGGAGGAGGAGGGAGGAGCAGGGAGGAGCAGGGAGGATGTGGGGTGGTACGGGGGGAAGGGGGCAGATACGTGTCGAGAACGGGCCGCGAGACGGCGTGCATTGTGAATGCGCGCACACACACGCGCACACACACACACGCACGCGCACACACACACACTCCATGTCGGTACTGGGGACAGTTTGACCATACTTCACCACGCCTGTACAATCCGGTTTGGTGAAGGCGATGCCCAGGACTAGTTCAGGCATCACATCACTCGCCAATGTTGTGTTTAGTTCCTTGTCCTTCCCCCGTATCTCCGATTAGCACGGTTGGTTACGTACGGTGCGAAAGAAGTTCAACATACATCACCGTTCGCCGCGCCCAGGACGCGAACTCCGATCGCGGGGTCGATAGCGCAGTGCGCTAATCACAGCCCCACCGCTCCCCCGCCCTTGGCAATTACATATAATTTGATCGTGGTTACCGATCAATTATTGAATCATGTTCTCAAGAGAGGACACTCAGTGACAAACCTTGGATTTCACTGCATAACAATCCGTTATGCATTATGCATCGAGAAGTTTCATGTTAATATTTCCATGAAAGCACACGCAGATCCCCCGTATAGGCCTAACTGACTTTTGGGGCAAGTGCCGTTAGCGAGCGCCTTGGACGGCCAGCACAGCACGCGACGGCGTGGGTGGCCAGCAGCACGCCGTTATAATTATTCGTGAATTAATAGAGCTTCTAGAAGACAACAACAATTATATGCTTAGTGAAATTCAATTCAATGCAGCCAATGAGACGGAACAAACTAGGCAGAAAATGCAAGAGAGACGATACACACGACACAAAAATAATACAATAATGAATCATTTTTTTGTGCGCAGAGGGAATGAGGTGGTGAATGCGGGGACTGGGGGAGAGAGGACGGCGGGCGGTAGGAGAGGAGGTGGGAATTCAAACGTCCAATGCTCGGCTCCAATTGACACACGTGTCAGCTAAAACGGTGGGACGAAACGTGGGTGTTGTATTCACTTTTGCATTGGCAAGTGGGGCAGTTGAGGGGCGGCTAGGAGATGTTAACTCCTTCGCCTGGTATGCAGGAGGTCGTGGGTTCGATCCAGACCCTGACGCCTGTTGGATATTTGGAGTTTACATGGTCTCCCCGTGGTCGCGTGGACTTTTCTCCGGGGTAAAAATCACGCGTTTAACTGCTATTTGAAAAAATACATCCACGTGATAAGCCACTTCGTACGTAGAGCAATCATTTGTGGCCCGGTCGCTTCTGAAAAAGAGCTATATAGCTCAGTAGACCTTACCTGATAAAATAAAAAAAATAGTTGAGTTGATTTCACCAAGAAGCACAAGTTTCGCGGGCCGGGTTTCAACCATTACTCGGGTTCGACTCCCTACTGTTGTTTTTTTAATATTTGAGAATCTATGGCGATTGATCTCAACAGCCAGCCATAGAGTGCCCTTGTTATGGGCGGTCTTTCGGGCTTTGACCACTTCAATGTGAAATTGTAGTTCTTGCTCTGCATCTGCATTAGCCATACAAAATAAGAAGATGCGTGGTCTTTATTATAAAAAGCGTGAAAATAACAAAGAAACAAAAAAAATCTTAATTGTTTCTATAACCCTACAAGTGCATTCCGTGTAATTAAATGTCCTGTCAAGAAAAGTAACATTTCCTGTTGAGAGAACGTTTGGTTAGGGCCCAGCGATTCTTAACCTGGGGTGCACGCACCCCCTGGGTGTGCGAGATGCCCTTTCTGGCGGTAGCGAGACATGGCCAATTTTTTTTTAGAAGCTGAATAATCGAAACGCAAATTAAGGCACGGGCACGTAAGTACAACTACTTGATTTCATAAAACCTATATACTAACATTTTGATTTTTTTTTTTTTACTATTGAGAACCAAAGGGGTGCAAGGCTGCAGGAAAAGGTTAAGAACCACTTGCCCGCTAGGCCACGTCGCTCGAAGGGACGATGGCCGCTCGTCAAGGCTAACGGCGGGGTGGCGGTCAACGGAGTCCACGCGACACGGAGGATGTCCGCCGCCCAGATGGGGGACGATGACGGGGACGAGCGGCAGAGCGATCGTCGCTTGTCGCAGAGATTCGCGGCATCTAAACAGCGGCCGCCATCGTAAATACTGGTGGGTGCATTAACCATAAAAATCATACCCGCCGTTTGCTTCGCAAGTGGACGTTAAAGATCCCGTGACGTAGTTCTCAAGAGTATTGCCATTGCGTGGCGGCGTCGTGGTCCAAAATTTGAAAAATGTAACCGGAATTTTTTTCATATTTCAATCATCGCGCCCCGACTGGGAAAACTTGATGGGACCCTCCTGGAAAGAGTCACGCGAGCTGGGTAATAAAGGTGATGCGGCGATGACATCAGCCCGTGTGTGGGTGGCGAGATGGAGTGTTGCATCACTGGGCCGTCTTTTTTTTTCGTATGGCTGCTGATGTTATGATGATATTGAGACACGTCTTCTGCAAGATCTTTCTAAACGGACGGTGGTGGTCTTCTGTCCTCTGGGTGGTTATGGTCAGGCGTTGCTATGAAGATTCAACTTCCAGGGTGGTTATGGTCAGGCGTTGCTATGAAGAATCACCTTCCAGGGTGGTACGGTCATGTGTTGCTATGAAGAACCACCTTCCAGACTGGTACGCTCATGCGTTGCTATGAAGAACCACCTTCTAGAGTGGTACGCTCATGCGTTGCTATGAAGAACCACCTTCCAGAGTGGTACGGTCATGCGTTGCTATGAAGAACCACCTTCCAGGGTGGTAGGTCACGTGTTGCTATGAAAAATCACCTTCCATAGTGGTACGGTCATGTGTTGCTATGAAGAACCACCTTCCAGGCTGGTACAGTCATGCGTTGCTATGAAGAACCACCTTCCAGGGTAGTAGGTCATGCGTTGCTATGAAGAACCACCTTCCATAGTGGTACGGTCATGCGTTGCTATGGAGAACCACCTTCCAGAGTGGTAGGTCATGTGTTGCTATGAAGAACCACCTTCCATAGTGGTAGGTCATGCGTTGCTATGCAGAACCACCTTCCATAGTGGTACGGTCATGCGTTGCTATGGAGAACCACCTTCCAGGCTGGTACAGTCATGCGTTGCTATGAAGAACCACCTTCCATAGTGGTACGGTCATGCGTTGCTATGAAGAATCACCTTCTAGAGTAGTACGGCCATGCGTTGCTATGAAGAATCACCTTCCAGGGTAGTAGGTCATGTATTGCTATGAAGAATCACCTTCCAGAGTGGTACGGTCATGCGTTGCTATGAAGAACCACCTTCCAGAGTGGTAGGTCATGTATTGCTATTAAGAACCACCTTCCATAGTGATACGGTCATGCGTTGCTATGAAGAATCACCTTCCAGAGTGCTACGGTCACGTGTTGCTATAAAGAACCACCTTTCAGAGTGGTAGGTCATGTGTTGCTATGAAGAACCACCTTCCAGAGTGGTACGGTCACGTGTTGCTATGAAGAATCACCTTCTAGAGTGGTACAGTCACGTGTTGCTATGAAGAATCACCTTCTAGAGTGGTACGGTCACGTGTTGCTATGAAGAATCACCTTCTAGAGTGGTACAGTCACGTGTTGCTATGAAGAATCACCTTCCAGGGTGGTACGGTCATGTGTTGCTATGAAGAACCACCTTCCAGACTGGTACGCTCATGCGTTGCTATGAAGAACCACCTTCTAGAGTGGTACGCTCATGCGTTGCTATGAAGAACCACCTTCCAGAGTGGTACGGTCATGCGTTGCTATGAAGAACCACCTTCCAGGGTGGTAGGTCACGTGTTGCTATGAAAAATCACCTTCCATAGTGGTACGGTCATGTGTTGCTATGAAGAACCACCTTCCAGGCTGGTACAGTCATGCGTTGCTATGAAGAACCACCTTCCAGGGTAGTAGGTCATGCGTTGCTATGAAGAACCACCTTCCATAGTGGTACGGTCATGCGTTGCTATGGAGAACCACCTTCCAGAGTGGTAGGTCATGTGTTGCTATGAAGAACCACCTTCCAGAGTGGTAGGTCATGCGTTGCTATGAAGAACCACCTTCCATAGTGGTACGGTCATGCGTTGCTATGGAGAACCACCTTCCAGGCTGGTACAGTCATGCGTTGCTATGAAGAACCACCTTCCATAGTGGTACGGTCATGCGTTGCTATGAAGAATCACCTTCTAGAGTAGTACGGCCATGCGTTGCTATGAAGAATCACCTTCCAGGGTAGTAGGTCATGTATTGCTATGAAGAATCACCTTCCAGAGTGGTACGGTCATGCGTTGCTATGAAGAACCACCTTCCAGAGTGGTAGGTCATGTATTGCTATTAAGAACCACCTTCCATAGTGATACGGTCATGCGTTGCTATGAAGAATCACCTTCCAGAGTGCTACGGTCACGTGTTGCTATAAAGAACCACCTTTCAGAGTGGTAGGTCATGTGTTGCTATGAAGAACCACCTTCCAGAGTGGTACGGTCACGTGTTGCTATGAAGAATCACCTTCTAGAGTGGTACAGTCACGTGTTGCTATGAAGAATCACCTTCTAGAGTGGTACGGTCACGTGTTGCTATGAAGAATCACCTTCTAGAGTGGTACAGTCACGTGTTGCTATGAAGAATCACCTTCCAGAGTGGTACGGTCACGTGTTGCTATGAAGAACCACCTTCCAGGGTGGTAGGTCATGTGTTGCTATGAAGAACCACCTTCCAGGGTGGTACGGTCATGGGTTGCTATGAAGAACCACCTTCCAGAGTGGTACGGTCATGCGTTGCTATGAAGAACCACCTTCCATAGCGGTACGGTCACGTGTTTCTATGAAGAACCACCTTCCAGGGTGGTAGGTCATGTGTTGCTATGAAGAACCACCTTCCAGGGTGGTAGGTCATGTGTTGCTATGAAGAACCACCTTCCATAGTGGTAGGTCATGCGTTGCTATGAAGAACCACCTTCCAGGGTGGTCGGTCACGTGTTGCTATGAAGAACCACCTTCCATAGTGGTAGGTCACGTGTTGCTATGAAGAATCACCTTCCAGGGTGGTACGGTCACGTGTTCCTATGAAGAACCACCTTCCAGAGTGGTAGGTCATGTGTTGCTATGAAGAACCACCTTCCATAGTGGTAGGTCATGCGTTGCTATGAAGAATCACCTTCCAGGGTGGTAGGTCATGCGTTGCTATGAAGAATCACCTTCCAGAGTGGTACGCTCATGTGTTGCCATGAAGAACCACCTTCCAGGGTGGTACGCTCATGCGTTGCTATGAAGAATCACCTTCCAGGGTGGTAGGTCACGTGTTGCTATGAAGAACCACCTTCCAGAGTGGTACGGTCATGCGTTGCTATGAAGAACCACCTTTCATAGTGGTACGGTCATGCGTTGCTATGAAGAATCACCTTCCAGAGTGGTACGGTCATGTGTTGCTATGAAGAACCACCTTCCAGGGTGGTAGGTCACGTGTTGCTATGAAGAACCACCTTCCAGAGTGGTACGGTCATGCGTTGCTATGAAGAACTACCTTCCAGGTGGTAGGTCATGTATTGCTATTAAGAACCACCTTCCAGGGTGGTAGGTCATGTGTTGCTATGAAGAACCACCTTCCAGAGTGGTAGGTCATGTGTTGCTATGAAGAACCACCTTCTAGAGTGGTACGGTCACGTGTTGCTATGAAGAATCACCTTCCAGAGTGGTACGGTCATGTGTTGCTATGAAGAACCACCTTCCATAGCGGTACGGTCACGTGTTGCTATGAAGAATCACCTTCCAGAGTGGTACGGTCATGCGTTGCTATGCAGAACCACCTTCCATAGCGGTACGGTCAAGTGTTTCTATGAAGAACTACCTTCCAGGGTGGTAGGTCACGTGTTGCTATGAAGAACCACCTTCCAGGGTGGTAGGTCATCTGTTGCTATGAAGAACCACCTTCCAGGGTGGTAGGTCACGCGTTGCTATGAAGAACCACCTTCCATAGTGGTAGGTCATGTGTTGCTATGAAGAACCACCTTCCAAAGTGGTAGGTCACGTGTTGCTATGAAGAACCACCTTCCAGGGTGGTAGGTCATCTATTGCTATGAAGAACCACCTTCCAGAGTGGTACGGTCACGTGTTGCTATGAAGAACCACCTTCCAGGGTGGTAGGTCACGCGTTGCTATGAAGAACCCCCTTCCATAGTGGTAGGTCATGTGTTGCTATGAAGAACCACCTTCCAAAGTGGTAGGTCATGTGTTGCTATGAAAAATCACCTTCCAGAGTGGTAGGTCATGTGTTCCTATGAAGAATCACCTTCCAGGGTAGTAGGTCATGTGTTGCTATGAAGAACCACCTTCCAGAGTGGTACGGTCATGCGTTGCTATGAAGAACCACCTTCCAGGGTGGTAGGTCACGTGTTGCTATGAAGAACCACCTTCCAGGGTGGTAGATCACGTGTTGCTATGAAGAACCACCTTCCAGGGTGGTAGGTCACGTGTTCCTATGAAGAACCACCTTCCAGAGTGGTAGGTCATGTGTTGCTATGAAGAACCACCTTCCATAGTGGTAGGTCATGCGTTGCTATGAAGAATCACCTTCCAGGGTGGTGGGTCATGTGTTGCTATGAAGAACCACCTTCCATAGTGGTATGGTCATGCGTTGCTATGAAGAATCACCTTCCAGAGTGGTACGGTCACGTGTTGCTATGAAGAATCACCTTCCAGGAGATCAACACATCGGTGTGGTGCTGACGCAGTCGTAATTTGGCCACGTTTGTTCATATCGTGACAACTTCATTAATTGGCTGTCGGGTGGTGGAGGGCGTACCACACACATTTTGCTCACGCGATGCCTTCTAATAATTGTCTAACGCGATGTTTGAACGTTTGTTATCGATACACGATTTTCAATACATACTCTGTTGCCGTGTTGTGGCCAGGTCGCTTCTGATAAAGAAGCGAAAAGCCCATTGGGGCCTTACCTTGAAAAAAACCCATAAATTATTGAATTTTATTTGTATATATTTTTAAGTGATTTGTTCACCTTGCCTATACCTTGCACTCTTTGTTGGTTGTCACGTTCAGATTCTTCTCGCACGCCACGATGGCGTCACCGAATCGGGCGTGCGCGGTGACGTCGCCACGCCTCCCGCGACGCGGTTGCGTCATCGCGTACACCCCGCCCCTCCGCCCGCCGCCCCCCGCCCCCCGCCACCGCCTTCGTCCTCCCACAATCCCGCGCGGCTCCTTCTTTTCCGGGCCGCCAACATGTCGAAGAGAGGTGCGTGACGCCGGCTCCCGCTCCCGCTCGTTGCAATCCGTCGCCATCCTCGCTCCCATCGCCTCTGCCACGTTTTGCCGCCGCGAGGCTCCCTCGATACCAGTGCCCGCCTGCCACGGCGTGGGGAGGGGAGTTGCGGCTGCGGCGGCAGATGATGATTACGGGCGATGGTTTGGCGGTCGGTCGCGAGCGGTGGCTGTTCGTGGCGGCCATCTGCAGCGATGTTGAATTTAGAGTAATTGTGAACTGAATGATCGTCCTTTTGTGTAGCTTTTACGTAAGTAACTTCACGTGTGCGTGCGTGTGTTGAGAGTGAGTACGTGTTGTATAGTTAGACTGGTCATAGAAGCGTCTGTGCCCTAGGCCTGAAGCCTGAGTTGAACGATTACAAGTAATCGTGACTTGGGGTGTAAATGCCGAGTTAGCTACGTGCTGTATGCATGCTTGCGAAGGCCACGTTCAGGTGATCAACCGCACTTATGAACCTGCGCGTACTATGGGGGGGTGCCTGCGTATTGGCATCGCGAGAGCTGGGAAGACAAAGGCGCGCGGGAGGGGATGCGCGATGTGCTTCCCGCTATGCTTTTACCCCATAAACGCAAACACGCGGCTCCATCTGTGTGAGAGTACTCACGATTTACCCCACCACGAACGTACACGCGGGGCCCGCGGTAGGCTCGAGTCCTGTGTTCTTTGTGATTGGCAGTGGTGGTTCATACGCGTACATAATTTAAAAAAAACCCACGCAGTAGTTTGTGTCGTATGGGTTCATAATTGCGGATTAAAGGTGTCATTTTAGATGTGTTATCCACTCCGTTCAGAAGCAAAGTGGATCTTGTTCACTCTGAGGAGTTGAAGACGGCAGCAGCGGAGTTTACGGTGTGGTCGATGGTTTGGGATTCGTGGCCGCAGTCGCAGGCCACGAATCCGTAACGCCGTTTCGGGCAATGGCCCTTAATCATGTCATCTTGAGAGAGAGGAGTGCTTGTGGTGCCGGCTAACGTCGAGTTCTCTTGGCAGGACGTGGCGGGTCGTCCGGTGCGAAATTTCGCATCTCGCTGGGTCTGCCCGTCGGCGCGGTCATCAACTGCGCGGACAACACTGGTGCGTGGGCCCTGTGTGGGTGCGTGGGCCCATGTGTTGGGTGCGTGGGCCCATGTGTGGGTGCTATTATGTATGTTAAACCTCTATAACTCCGTGCTAATTGGAGGTGGACGAAACGATGAGTGGACTCCCCCAACTTAATTTTTTTTAAATGAGGCCATCAACACAATGGCTCTTGTGCAGCATTGTTCGTTCACTTGATGATTGGGAAAGAAGTGGGATGAAATCTATTCAAAGATAAGTATATTCTATCGGTACATAACCGTGAAGCAGTTATCACCCGCGAGAGCCGTTCCTTCCCAAAAAAGCATCCGCCCCATAGTCCACGCGGGCCCTGATGGGGTGGGTCGTCACCGGAAGGAGAGCAAACTCGGCATTGCTAATGGGTGAGGGGGCAGCACTCACTGTTGCAGCACCTCTCAATCAGTAGTGCTACAGTAAGAACCACGAATAAGCTGGCTTTAGAAGCTGCTATATTTAACAAGTCACCACGGTGGGGAAATGTGGCTCATTTTTTTGATGGCTTTCAAAAAATGTTGCCTTTTTGAGAATGCAATAATGTTGGTGACTGTGAAGTTGGTGTTGTGTTTTTGACGGCGTTCGGTTTGTGCCCCCCATTTGTGTGTGCCGTGTGTTCCACAGGCGGTAAGAACCTGTACATCATCTCGGTGAAGGGCATCAAGGGTCGTCTGAACCGCCTGCCAGCTGCCGGTGTGGGTGACATGGTGATGGCCACCGTGAAGAAGGGCAAGCCCGAACTCCGGAAAAAGGGTCAGTTGCCCTCGCGTCAGGATGGGACTAACTTACATTTGGGATTTTGTGCCATAGCTCATAGCACAACAGGCCACCACGGAGGGTGCTTTGCTCGTGAGGAGGTTTGACTGAATGAAGGCCTTGCTGGATGGAATAGAGGACATGAATGGAGCTGAGTTTGGAGGATCTTGGAATGAGATGATAGAGGCATATTATGACAGTTTACCCAAATCTGCAACATCTTGTTAAGATAACAGATGTGTAAATCTTGGAATGAGAAGATGTAAAGAGAAGATTGAGGGATATGACAGTTACCCCAAACGGAGCAAAATCTTACAAAGACCACAACAAGACATATAAACGTAACAACTAGATAAAGGAACAAAAAAACATAAGGCAGTTGTGAACAGCGAGTTCCTTTCCAAAAAAGCATCCGCCCCATAGTCCACGCGGGCCCTGATGGGGTGGGTCGTCACGGGAAGGAGAGCAAACTCGGCATTGCTAATGGGTGAGGGGGCAGCACTCACTGTTGCAGCACCTCTCAATCAGTAGTGCTACATTCTAAGTCGTTCTCACACTGCACATGCGCTTTGATTGCTGAGCGTGTGGAATTAGTCATCGAAAAGACTTGATTTTGTTTCGTGGATTTTGTGTACGGCGATCTGTTATCCCTTGATGAAGCGCAATATATACGTCCAGTTTATGTATTCTCCGTAAAATTATAAGCTTGTCACAGTTCAGCCTCCCCGGCCCCTCCATCGTAACGATACGGTGGCTTTTCAAGACTAGGTAGGGATTAACAACTCCATTTTATCGTTTTATTTTCTCTTAGCCTAAATGCAACAGCATATAATTTACACATGTATCCTAATTTATTTTCATGATTGATATCACTTTTTTTATTGCATTGTATTTTAGTGTTACATGGCTGTTGGCCAGTATTCATTTTGTGGCTGCTGTATATAAAGTGTGCTGTTTGATCGGAGATAAATTACAGTTTGAGCTAAAATTGTTATGTTATTTACTAGTCATGTTGAGATATTCAACATTTTACGAAGTATAAATTCCGTTTGGCCTTCTAATGAAGGGCTTGGCGTGGATTATTTTGCATTGGCTATTAAGGGTCTCCTGAGTTCACGTGCCGTGTGGGTTTACACGTGTCCATTGAAACAGCATTAGCAATTCACATACACGCTGAATAGCCCAGCATGTATGGCACATCCAAGCCGGCAAGACGTGAGCAGTCCATTGACTGATTAATCCGTTTCATTCCGGATGACCCAAGCGGGGTTGGTTATTTGACGCTAATGGATTGGTACTTTATAGAAGTCGATATCTGCTGTGGTGGTGGTTGTGAGATGGGAGTATGGGGAGGAGGGTGGTTGTTATTGGTCTTGATGTAAGGATGTCGATGGTGCTTTTTTAAAGAGGGCCACAGAAGTGGTTGGGGGTTGCGGAGCAGGTGGCATGGTGAGGTGCCGGTCTTGAACTCGGGTGGCTTTGTGTTTCCGTGCAGTGCATCCTGCGGTGGTGATACGGCAGCGGAAAGCCTTCAGGAGAAAGGACGGGGTGTTTCTCTACTTTGAAGACAACGCAGGGGTCATAGTGAACAACAAGGGCGAGATGAAAGGTGGGTGTGCCTCTGATGGAAGAATGTTAAGAAATACTCTCGCCGATGATTGCTGTGACTTGGTGAGGAAGTTTGACCGAAGGCCTTACTGGATGGAATAGAGGACATGAGGAGAGCTGAATTTGGAGGATCTTGGAATGAGAAGATGTAAAGAGAAGATTGAGGGATATGACAGTTACCCCAAACGGAGCAAAATTTTACAAAGATCACAACAAGACATATAAATGTAACAACTAGATATATAGGAACAAAAACCATAAGACAGTTGTGAACAGCGAGTTCCTTTCCAAAAAGCACCCGCCCTGTAGTCCACGCGGACCCTAATGGGGTGGGTTGTCACGGGAAGGAGAGCAAACTCGGCATTGCTAATGGGTGAGGGGGCAGCACTGCCTGTTGCAGCACCTCTCAATCAGTAGTGCTACATTCTAAGTGGTTAAACAATGTGGACAGAGAACATCCCAGGAGTGTAAAGCCACAGTGACGTCCGCTGTACATGTTGCAGCAGTGGTGGGATGCGTTGATAGTTGAGTGAACATAATAGCGATTTGTGTGGACAGCATGTGTCTCTAGGTACCAATTAAGTTCTTTCGGTAAAGTCACGTAGAATGATAATATCATTATCATTCTACGTGACTTTACCGAAAGAACCAAAGAAGATGAATCATTGCAGTCACGAAAGCTTTAAATCGAAACCAATTAAGTTGTGCAGGTGGTGGGGTTGCGAGTGCCTGGCTGAATATTCTCAGTGGAGTTTATAATTGGTTGTGTAAGCATGCTGTGGTGAGTGTTCGTTTGTGCAGTGCCTTGATAGTGTGTGCATCCTGGTAAAGTGAGTGTAGTTGCTTGGGCGTTGTCGAGTGGCTTGTCGTCGTGTGTGATTGCGAGTCGCGTTGATGGGGTTGGTGTCGTTTCAGGCTCTGCCATCACGGGCCCCGTGGCTAAGGAGTGCGCGGACCTGTGGCCCAGGATTGCCTCCAATGCGGGCAGCATCGCCTAGCCCCGGCCACGTCACGTTTGTCACAATAAAAACAACCATCCAATTCAATAGAACGTGTTCATGGGTGTGTGTGCGCACTTTTCTGTGTCTCAGGTGGTTGGAAACCTAACAGAAATGGGTTGGGGTTTTGACTTGATGAAATCTGCACACCTATATGTAAAGTACATACAAATACACCGTTAAAGCGTCCTTGCGTTCCAAAAGAACGCATGCAATCGGTTTAGAAGTTTTTATGATTTTGGTGAAAATGTAAGGTATCGGACTGTTTTTGTACAGCTTACAAGCTCTTAAAGGCGAAAAGTTCATTTAAATATTGATTTACACCAACCAGGTTATATTAATCCATCAAGCTCTATACCCATGGGGTGAGTTTTAAGGATTTGACATCTACTGCATGTCTTGACTAGATCTAGGAAGAGTAAACAATGGTTTCTTATTGGTGGTTGCTGCTTCAATTTTTTTCTCCAACGTCGCAAATGGGGATTAATGTTTGAGAATGGAGCTAAGTGAGCTCTGCCTCCTAATGTAGATTTTCTGTACATTTGCAGAGCAGTCGCTGGGTGTGTGGCCCATTATGAAGCTTGTCCCTTAGGCTTGCATGCTATCCACCATGAGGCCTGGGTGCGTAATTTGGGCATCATTTCTTTGCAAGTGAATGCGTCTGACTCCTGAGTTGGGCTTGAACCAATGATGAGTTGTGAAATAATCAAGAACCAGTTTGGCACGATATTGCATGTACGTATGTTGAACCGTGCTAATCGGAGGTGTGGGGGAAGGACAAGCTCAACAAAACAGTTTCCAATCGATATGGGTCGTCAATAGCTCCAGTGGCTTTCTAATATCGGGAGGAAGAGCGTTCCAGACGGCTGCAAAAGCGCATCTGAACGTGCATGATGCAGTAACCGTTTTTGCTCGATGGCTAGCCAAAAGCCACTGCGAGGATGACTAGTTCTCGTGATTGCTTCTTGAGATCGGTGAGATTCATTTGTGCCAAGCACTGGGTAATGAGTGCTTGTGATATATTGGACAACTTGGAAGCCATTGCAGCTCGGCGAGCATTGGATGGAAATGGCCGGATCTTGCAGCACCCGTCACGGCACGTGCCACAATATTGTACGCTAATACAGGACCAGCGGCGTGCAAAATTATTTGCAGGCTGCCTCAACAAATGTGCGCAGCCCTATGTCCTTGTAAATGAATACTTTTAGTCGCATTAAGTCGGTACAAGCAAACTGGACCGATGTGATGCTCTTCCAGGAGGCTGTGTTGACGGGAAGTCGACAGTTCATACAGCCAAGCTAATGCTAAAAATGCTTAGGGTTCAGTGTTAATGACTTAAGTTTAAGGCTTGAATATATAAGGTGTAATTTTAATAACAGGCTCATGGACTTAAAGCATTCGTGACTGCAAGAATACATATTCTATGGGTCTTTCGGTGAAGCCACGTAAATAGAAAAATAATATCACGACGTTTGATCGCAACAAGCAATCTTTCACGTGAAGACGATTGCTTGGGTTGCGATCGAAACGTGATTTTTTCTATCACTGTTTTAGGCTCGATATTACAGAGCCACTAGGCTGATGTAGATCCAGTGCAACGACTACAATTTCATATTCAGGTGGTCAAGCCACAAATAAGCGCGTCACGAGCAGCGGAGTGCGTTGCTGTGATGTCGCCGTATGTGTGGATCGGGACATTGCGTTTTTGTACGGTCTGTTCTGGATGACCACATTCGAAAACTGCGCCCAGGTTTGTGCATCGTCAGCAGGTATCCGCATCTACTGCTGCCACGGTTTGCGTAGCAGTGGATGCGGTTTAGGGTGAACCACGTGCTTCTTGGTAGATTAAAACCAGGCATCTTGAATAACCAAGCTGCCTCTCACCCCCCCCCCCCGCGCGCCTCTCCACCCACCGTAACACATTATAATCAATGCACCCAGCACAATGGGGGAGATTGTGTAGGGGAGCGTGCACACTGTCGCCCGTGTGTGGTGTGTCGAGTTTAATCGCTTAACCACTTCCATACGCGCGTGCCTTCAAGTTGCACGTCATCTCTGATTCAATGAACAACCCTCCACTTCAGTGGCGAGGTATCCCGCTCAACGAGCGAGCTGAAATTCAATTACGCAACACGATGCATTTGGCGCTGTTTATAGCGCCAATAAATGCGACCGCACATCTTGTAAGACATTACGGAAACGGTGGGAATAATCGCAGAGGAGGAGGAGGCATCCTGCGAGTCGATAGAATTATAGCAACATTGGATTCTATAATGTGAGTGTTATGGATAGGCGTGCCTTGCACTTTGTTGTGTTTTAGAATATACCGGAGGAGTCTGATGAGCTACAAAGCTTTTTTTTGTTCACAGATGTCCAGTAAATCCGTACTCCATGCCAACTGAGAAGCGTTACAGAAAGTATGGAGCGAGAAATGTTTGAATTTGAGACCCTTCGCCTCACGGGGCTAAAGGACTCCCGCGTGTGCAAGGGGAGAGAGAGGTCTGTGCGTGTGTGAAAGATCTCGTTGTGTTAGAACACATTCAACCCAAGAGCCCCAAGAGGACACCTTCCCAGCACTGTAGGTGGCCATCGAGTGGAAGGAATAAGCTGAAATGTTCTCGGAACACTGCGACCCCAGAAGCCCTCCACTAACGAGTGCTCACTGCCTGTTGACGCTTCTCGAACTCCTGGCCACGCCAGCTGCTTTTCATTTCACGCGATTGTTCCAACGAATGAGCCGAGGCTCGTTAATTTACCGCATCTTGACTTATTAATTACTGCCAGCTGACAACTTGGAACGCCGATTGGTCAATGTCTTGAGACGCATCTCCAATATCTTCAGGCAAACTACTTCGATTGCCTCGTCTACGCAAGATTAAAAAAAACACATTTGCGCATAAAGCAGTGGTTGGCAGTGGCACGAAAAATAATCTGTGAACACTTGTCAAGCACCGCATTTAAATGATGTATAACAGGCCACGTTTCATGCAATATCCCTTCATACACAAGACGACAAGTACGCCTTTTATTTTCCCTGCTGTGTGCGGTCATCATGGCGCTCGAATGAAAACATTTTAGGTACGCAAGAGTTGAAATCACGCCGAGTTTAAGTGACAACCTGAATGTTTAATACGTTCGATGTGTGTGGGTGTGGGGTCGTTCGTTCAGGGGCACAGTGCAGGGTACATCTGCCAGTCATCTCGGTAAAGTTGGCACAGTCGGTGGTACAGCTTGTGCATCTGCCATTCATCTCAAATCAGTTAAACCATCGCATCCGAGTCTGTCCCGTGACCTCCTGCCCGCAAGCCTCCGACACTTGACGTGGCCTCAGCGTGCACCTAGCCTGGCACAGGCGCCGTGGTGACGTCGCCGTCACTGAGTAGCGACCGGCGGGTCCTGGCGTCGGTTCGAGAAGGGGCAGAGAGGCCCATGGACTCCGTCACACTCGAGAATAGTCCAGTTCTAATCACGGGCTGGCTGAGAGAGAGCTCTGCGCACATGGCCAATGTCAACATGCTCCTGAACAATTACCCCCGGGTCGTCTAAAAAATAAGAATCTATGTCCGTGGCTTGTTTCGCACCACCGACGCGTGCGTTCACCGCGTCAGCTGCTACGGAATGAATTCACGCAACATGCACGCAAAGAACACAATCTGGCCACTTTTTGTGTGTGTACATATATAAACGTAGGCTTTCACGACCGATACGATTCATAATCGGTTTTCGTATGGGTTAGGTCGTCGTGTAAATAAAATAACAAAAAACGGTGTGTCGTAAGCACTCCTCCACCCAACGCAGCCAATTAATAATTGCAAGTGTCACGTAAAATCAAGCGTGGCCAGACCCAATGCACTGCGGCACAACATTCACGTGGTTAGGGTAACGACGTGTCGTTGGATATCACATTAAGAATCGTGAGGTCGTGAACAGGAGCTCAGATCGCGCACCAACGTGCATGTTGTGAGATTCCTCTCCCAACATCAACACCGCCGCTGCTGCTGCTGCTCAAGCAGTCATAGATTTGGCAACGTCTGATGCACGTGACACTTGCATTATTAATCGCCTCTGTTGGGTTGGAGAGGGTTTACGACAAACCTCTGTACACGATCAAATCCAAAACAAGCCAATTGTGGAACACAATCTGCCATGTCTTAGTACAAATTGTGTACATGCGATATATGTATACTATAGTTACACTGCACGCGGTCCTCGGTTGTGAACAGCATGGCACACACACGCACGCGCGCGCGTGTCCGTATGCATGCGTTGCGTGTACAACGGGGGCTACGCGTGGCGTCATAAACACGTCACACGTACCTCACCTGATTGGAAGCATCTGCACACGCGAATTGCCTTCGGCTAAATCACCAGGAACGCGGCGTAGCGCAACACCCCGGTCGTCGATCACCGCGTGGGAGCGCTCGAATCGTGTGCTGTGATGCGCGCGGTTCCTTTGAGTGCCTTTTCGTGTTCGCGCCATCGGCGCCGTCTCCTCGGGGTGCACGGCGAAGCGATGGCGACCGCCGCCCCAGGCCCCGCGCTTTGGGGGGGGGGGCGCGCTTCGACGTCACGGTATCAGATGTTTGTAGGCGTCACTTCGGTGTGCCTGCAGGAGCTGTACACCCATAATAGAGGGGGTTTTTGGGGGGTTAGATCGCGTAAATAATTGGTATTGGTCGCGGAAGCCTGCTGCTACGTGTTAATAAACCAAGTAGTTGCGAGGTTGTCGCGTTGCGTAATCCCAATGTGAGCAGTTTGAGGGCAATGTTTTGAAACTTGGAATGTGACGCCGCTCGTAACACAATGGCCACATTGCATTGCCAAATGACACGGACTTGTTGTAGACGGAGCGCCCATTCCTGTTCGCCGTGGCGTCTCACGCCAACTCACATCTCACACACTCGTGTGTCGACACGTTTTAAAGGGGAACCCCCCGCCCCCATGCAGCACGTGGCCTGCGAGCAGCTTTTAGTCTGCTCGCAGGCCACGATGATCGCTTCGTGGTCTTGCCTAGGGCACCCCCAGTGGCAGCTGTCCCTATGCGGCACACACTGGTCACGCAGCACGTGGCCTGCTAGCGGACATCAGTCTGCGGGGGGGATGATTGGTGCTGTGTGTGATCCCAACTGAGTCAGTTCAGACAGCGCGCACTATGTTCTGGTTAAGACATCTGAAGTGTTAACACACCTGAAGTGTTGACCAGGGCTGCCTGCCAGATTCCAACCGCGAACCTCTGCGACAAGCGGCGAACGCGCTACCGCTGGCTGTGTTGATGCATACACATACATATATATGCATCATATATACACCCTCTATATGTGTTTCTATGTATTTGGATATACGCCTATTTAAGTGTGATTTCACACGTACAAGTAAAATATAAGTGTACATTATTTGTATGTATGTGCATACGCACATATCTGCACGTGTGTACTTATATGTGCACACACGTGTGTGTGCAGCCGCGCATGTTATACCTGTATGGCTATGTGTATACTGTAGTTTTTAAAACATCGAATATATACAGGTATAGGAATATTTGTGTGCACCCACGTGAAAGCATATTCGCATATGCCAGATTGCTTGTGTGTATGTGTAAACTATACATGTGAACATTTGCATATGTATACACCCTTGTGTTGTCCTGCTGATGTGTACACGTGTGTGTAGACCGCATGCAGGCACACACACGTGTATGTGTATAATTGTACACGTGTGTATGTCTGTGTACATCTCTAACGAGAGACACACACACACCTATGTACGCGTCTGACGATGATTCTAAACTACCTGGTGGACAAGACGTACAACTCGACGCATTCGGCAATTACACTGTGGCCTTAAAACGGAATAACAAGATATAATCGGCGACGTTCCGGGCAATGGGCCTTCTTCAGAGCACACGAAGAAGGATCACACAGAACAACACTAAGCATTGCCATTGGTGCTGCTGCTGCTACTGCTGTTGTTGTTGACGCTGCTGCTACTGCTGTTGTTGACGCTGCTGCTACGGCTGTTGTTGTTGACGCTGCTGCTACGGCTGTTGTTGTTGACGCTGCTGCTACTGCTGCTGCTGTTGTTGATCGTCTCTCCGCCGTAGTTGCTGCGACTGCTGTTGCTGCTACCGTTGATGTTGTCGCCACCTCTGTTGATATGAGCAGTGTTGTTGACGCTGCTGCTGCTATTCGACTTGTTGTTGTGTTTGTGGTTGTAGTCGTTGTAGTTGTGCCTGGGTTCCCACGGTGTAGGAGTGGCACCCGGGAGCGAACTTGGCCGTGGAGGCTTCAGAACGCGGTAATGCGCCACGAAGCCACGGTCGGTCACAGACGAATCCGATCGGAACTTTAGGGTCATCACGTTACCTGGGGGCGGAGGGGGGCAGTAGGGGGGGGGGGGGGGGGTGGGGGGCAGGCATGGGGCAGGGGTTGAATATCGCAGGGACAACAGCGCAGGTCACGACGAGGTACCCCTGGTGATCCAGCGCCCGCTTGGGAGACGAGGGTTGGTGCATCACAGCGAATTATAAAATATCACACCCGCCTGGGACTGCGAGATTCCGCTACGTGGAGCGAATGGATTCTCGCAACCATCTGTGCGGAATTATATTAGTAGGCGTCTGTACACTCGTAGACGTGGAGTTTCTCCAGGTTACTCGGGTGTCATTCCCCCTCTCGAGTCAAACTCTCATTCCTGGAATTAACCAAACACGCGCGTTCCTGGGCGTGATTCTAAAGTCGTGTGTCTCTCCGTCTCTCACTCGCGTTAGACGCGTGTGTTCTGTCCTTGCGGCACGATGGCACGACGTTCAGGAGCCGAATGCCACCAACGTCGAGGTCTGCTGCCGGCCACGACGAGAGGGCTTCACGAGAGAGAGAGTGCGAGAGAGCGAGACTGTTCGTGCCGTTTTGATTTTCCTCCTCTTCCATTAAAGACGCGCAGACCTACAGTGGTTCACTGCTACGCTCCAATAGTTTGGGTTGCATGGCCACAGTCGCACTGTGCATGGCTTGTCTGCTGCCGGGAGTGGTTGTGTCGCTCCGAGAGATGAAGCTGCGTGGTGTCGCGAGTGTACGAGCGAGTGGGGGCGGGGGGGGTCTTACTTGTGCTGACGATATCTTCGGGTAACTCGCTGCCACAGAACCTGCGGCGGGAGAGACAACGGCGTGAACGTCCGCGCCCGAAGGTGGTGCGTTACCCCCCCGAACGAGGTTCCACCAATACCCGCCAATCGCGACGCAGCGACTGTGACGTCACCACGCGCGCCCGTGCCAGGCGAGGTGCGCTTCGAGGCCACGTGAAGCGGTCGAAGGCTCGCTGACGTGAGGTCACGGGAGCAAGACCCAGGTGCAATGCGTTGGCTGAGCTGACTGGAAGAAGCACCCACGCGTGCTCCCCACGTGCATACACCCACACAGCTCACGGCTACAATTAACAGTGCAGCAAATAGGTTGTCGTGTGCGGTTGATCGGAGCAACCCGGCGCTGCGCTCGATCCCAGTCGGGATCTCGGAAGCTCAGCAGGCTCGAGCCTGGACAGCGCTGGGGTGGGTAACGGGGGCCCAGCGGTAGAGGCACGCGTTGCGGGTGAGTGCTCAGCTGGGATGCGAACCCGGCTCCCTTCGTCGGCGGCTCGGATGCGGCCTACGTGTCGTCATCACGCGCTTGCTTACGACGCACCGGATGAGGAATTGATTATTAAAATAAACATCCTAATTAGAATGGAAACCCTCCTGAAAGAGGGGAGTCGTTGAGAGTCTTGAGACTGTGAGGAGGCTTTCTTGGCAAACCAAAAATAAATCCTGCGCTCGGCCCTCCAGGGGGCACCTGAAGGTGGCCGATCGAGAGGAAGACGTCGTCAGTTGAACGCGCAAGTGGCTCTTCTTCTTCTACTTAATCTGGGGTGCGCGCACCCCCTGGAGGCGCGAGACACGGCTAGATGTTTTTTTAGAAGGTAAATCACTGAAACACAAATTACGCACGACAATAATAATGATGGTGGTAATGGTCAGAGACGTCTATAGGGGTGTGTGGGACCCAGGGAGAATCGTGTGGGCCCCCTCGCCCCCCCCCCCCCCCAACGAGGCCTTCAAACTAAACCGGTAGTATTACATCCGACGTCGAAGCGCGCCCCCCCCCCAACAAAAACACGGGGCCCGGGCGGTCGCCCAGATTCGCCATTCGCCGTAGCGCTAGGGATGGCTCTGATATAATGAATGGTTATTGGTGCCTGTACTCCGCTAACAGCACTTGCCCCAACAGCCTGTCACAGGCTATACGGGGGATCTTTGCCTTATGGTATCTGTACCTAAACCCCAGCCAGAAGATGGTGGTGACGTGCCTGTGAGAGCCGTCCGTGAAGGACCTCTCGACTCTGTGTGTGTGACAAAGGGCAGAACTAAAGCCACACTCTGGTTGTTGTTGTTGGCGGTGGTGGTGGTGGTGATGGGACCGCGATATCTGGCAGAAGGAAGGAAGCGATGGTGCGGTGTGATGCCACGAACGGAAATTTCCTTCACGACCCCTTTAACCTTTCCCTATGAGCGCAGTTCGACATGGGTCTTGGACACGTGGAGACGAACACCGTTAATTATCACTATTTAAAGCACACAAAAATGTCTTATTAGTACATTCATAAAAATAATAAAAACGACATAGAAGCGGGTGGGGGGGTGAGTTGAAAATAATTTTTTTTTAAAAAATATTGGTTGCGACGGCCGGGAATCGAACCCGGGTCAACTGCTTGGAAGGCAGCTATGCTCACCACTATACCACCGTCGCGCACGCACTCCCAAGCGCGCGCCACGCATTCTAATTCTCGGCGCGGAGTGGGAGAGACGGCGATGATGGAGTCTGGGTGGGTGGGGTTGTTATTTTATTTCTTTAAATCACAGTTGCTCGCCGCAGAACCAAAAAGCCGAGCGGCCACCAACAAACAAGTTTGTTATTATTGTTAAAATAAGAATTGGGAGGGTGGGGGTGATGATGGAAGGAGGAAATTCCAAAGTGGAGTCGTGCTAGGGAAGATGCAGAAAGAGAAGTGAGGTGACCTGCAGTGTGGTGAATGCGTGGGGAGTGAGTGAATGCGTGAGTGGGTGGATGTGTGAGTGAATGTGTGAGTGGGTACATGTGTGAGTGAGTGAATGTGTGAGTGGGTGCATGTGTGAGTGGATGCATGTGTGAGTGAGTGAATGTGTGAGTGGGTGGATGTGTGAGTGAGTGAATGTGAGTGGGTACATGTGTGAGTGAGTGAATGTGTGAGTGGGTGCATGTGTGAGTGGGTGCATATGTGAGTGAGTTAATGTGTGAGTGAATGTGTGAGTGGGTGAATATGTGTGTGAGTGGGGAGCGGTAGTGTAGCGGTTAGCGTGTTGCGCTATGAACCTAGCGACCCGGGATCGATTCCCGCTCACGGCCAACACCAGTGAAGATTATCTGAACCGGTCCTGCTCTTCCCCTAGGTCGACTCAGCCTGAAATGAGTACCTGGTGCGGTGTGTAAACATCGCCAGTGGGGAGACAAAGGCGGTCGGGCGTGGTTGCTGGCCACCTACCCTCTCGTGTACCGTTCCAGCCTTCATAGGTGCTCGCTAACAGCACTTGCCCCTACAGTCTGTTAAGGCTATACGGGGGATCTTTGTTTTGTGGGTGACTGTGAGCAAGTGAATGTGTGAGTGGGTGGTTAACTGTTTAAGTGAATGTGTGAGTGAGTTGGTGAATGTGTGGGTGAATATGTGAGTGTGAATGGGTGAATGTGTGAAAGAATGAGTGAGCTGTACATGCTAATTAGGATATCGTCGAAAGAGTGTGGAAGACCGAGTCCTCAACATGGGTGGAGAGTTGAATACACGAGAGAGGGGAACGGGAAGGGTACCCACGGTAGTAGCGATAGAAGAATGACAGGGAGACGACTGCCTGCCGATGAGCGAGTGACTGGAGCGAATCAGTGAGTGCTGGATCATCAATCAAAGATCCCCCGTATAGCCTCAACAGACTCTTGGGGCAAGCGCTGCGAGCGAGTCGCACCTCTGAAGGGTCGGCACGGCACACGAGGGGGTGGGTGGCCAGCAGCACCACGCCAGACAGGACACCACTGCTACCATCACCATCACAATACCATCGCGGTGGCTAGGAGATGTTTACTACCTCGCCTGGTATACAGGAGATCGTGGGTTCGATCCCAAAACCTGACGCCTGCTGCTGTATATCGGGAGTCTGCGTGTCGCTCTCCCCGTGCTCGCGTGGATTTATGTCTCCGGGTGCTCCGGCTTTTCCCTTCCCAAATTTGAAATCAACATCACGCGTTTAAAGCATCCGGCTGCTATACATCCCCACGCGACAAGCAACTTCGTTGAGCTCTCATTTGTGATAGCCTCGTCCCTTCTGAAAGAAAGAACGACGGAGCTCAGCGGGCCTTGCCAGGTAAACTAATAATAATAATAATAATAAATAAATATTTTAGTTTATAACCAGGGCCCCTCTCTCACGAGCCTCGCTCGTTACGCCACTGCTTGGCCGCAGCTCGGTGGCTCATCCTCGACGATCTTCCCACACGTGGGAGGTGGACGCCTCATCTCCCACACGTGGACGCCTCATCTCCCACTCGTGACAGGTAGACACCTCATCTCCCACACGTGGGAGGTGGACGCCTCATCTCCCACTCGTGACAGGTGGACGCCTCATCTCCCACACGTGGACACCTCATCTCCCACTCGTGACAGGTGGACACCTCATCTCCCACACGTGACAGGTGGACACCTCATCTCCCACTCGTGGGAGGTGGACACCTCATCTCCCACACGTGGACGCCTCATCTCCCACTCGTGACAGGTGGACGCCTCATCTCCCACTCGTGGGAGGTGGACACCTCATCTCCCACACGTGACAGATGGACACCTCATCTCCCACTCGTGGACGCCTCATCTCCCACTCGTGACAGGTGGACACCTCATCTCCCACTCGTGGACACCTCATCTCCCACTCGTGACAGGTGGACGCCTCATCCCCCACAGGTGGACGCCTCATCTCCCACTCGTGGGAGGTGGACGCCTCATCTCCCACACGTGACAGGTGGACACCTCATCTCCCACACGTGGCAGGTGGACACCTCATCTCCCACACGTGGACACCTCATCTCCCACACGTGACAGGTGGACGCCTCATCTCCCACACGTGGACACCTCATCTCCCACTCGTGACAGGTGGACGCCTCATCTCCCACAGGTGGACGCCTCATCTCCCACTCGTGACAGGTGGACACCTCATCTCCCACTCGTGACAGGTGGACGCCTCATCTCCCATTCGTGACAGGTGGACGCCTCATCTCCCACTCGTGGACGCCTCATCTCCCACTCGTGGGAGGTGGACGCCTCATCTCCCACTCGTGACAGGTGGACGCCTCATCTCCCATTCGTGACAGGTGGACGCCTCATCTCCCACTCGTGGACGCCTCATCTCCCACTCGTGGGAGGTGGACGCCTCATCTCCCACACGTGGGAGGTGGACGCCTCATCTCCCACAGGTGGACGCCTCATCTCCCACACGTGGGAGGTGGACGCCTCATCTCCCACAGGTGGACACCTCATCTCCCACACGTGGGGGGTGGACGCCTCATCTCCCACAGGTGGACGCCTCATCTCCCACTCGTGGGAGGTGGACGCCTCATCTCCCACTCGTGGACGCCTCATCTCCCACTCGTGGGAGGTGGACACCTCATCTCCCACGCTGCGTTCGAGCGCGGTTTAGCGAAGTCCGTCACGTTTTGTTTTTAAAATTTGTATTCGAGCGGCAGCAACGTTTGGCTTCGGCAAATTGCGCAAATCAAATATTGGGGGGGGGGGGGTGGGGTGCCAACCTGACCCCCCCCACCGCCCCGAGCTGACAATGTAACCACTACGCCAAGCGTGTGTATGTGGAACTTCTTTCTCACCGCACGTAGCCAACCGTGCCAATCAAACAACACATCACCGCCCTTCGCACTGCATCCTCGTGCCGGTGTCGCTGAGATACCCACGTGGCGCCTCGCCGCCTCTTGCTGGGAGTGGGTGAAACAAATTCTCGGCGCTCACCGTGAACGCGTTGCGAGGCCGTGGCTGTTCCCTTCACGCCGCGCGAACGACGAAGCCACGCACCCTCATCGCCGTCGTCGCCATCATCATCGCCGTCGTCGCCATCATCATCGCCGTCGTCGCCATCATCATCGCCGTCGTCACCATCGTCATTGCCGTCGTCGTCATCGCCGTCGTCGCCATCGTCATCGTCGTCGTCACCATCGTCATCGCCGTCATCGTCATCGCCGTCGTCACCATCGTCATCGCCGTCATCGTCATCGTCATCGCCGTCGTCACCATCGTCATCGTCGTCGTCACCATCGTCATCGCCGTCGTCGTCATCGCCGTCGTCGCCATCGTCATCGCCGTCGTCACCATCGTCATCGCCGTCATCGTCATCGTCATCGCCGTCGTCGCCATCGTCATCGTCACCATCGTCATCGCCGTCATCGTCATCGTCATCGCCGTCGTCACCATCGTCATCGCCGTCGTCACCATCGTCATCGCCATCGTCGTCATCGCCGTCGTCGCCATCGTCATCGCCGTCGTCACCATCGTCATCGCCGTCATCGTCATCGCCGTCGTCACCATCGTCATCGCCGTCGTCGTCATCGCCGTCGTCGCCATCGTCATCACCGTCGTCGCCATCATCATCGCCGTCGTCGCCATCATCATCGCCGTCGTCACCATCGTCATCGTCGTCGTCACCATCGTCATCGCCGTCGTCACCATCGTCATCGCCGTCGTCACCATCATCATCGCCGTCGTCGTCATCGCCGTCGTCGCCATCGTCATCGCCGTCGTCGCCATCATCATCGCCGTCGTCGTCATCGTCATCGCCGTCGTCGCCATCATCATCGCCGTCGTCGTCATCGTCATCGCCATCGTCACCATCGTCATCGTCGTCGTCACCATCGTCATCGCCGTCGTCACCATCGTCATCGCCGTCGTCACCATCGTCATCGCCGTCGTCACCATCGTCATCGCCGTCGTCACCATCATCATCGCCGTCGTCGTCATCGCCGTCGTCGCCATCGTCATTGCCGTCGTCGCCATCATCATCGCCGTCGTCACCATCGTCATCGCCGTCGTCGTCATCGCCGTCGTCGCCATCGTCATTGCCGTCGTCGCCATCATCATCGCCGTCGTCATCATCGTCATCACTGTCGTCGCCATCGTCGCGAGGACCATCACGGTCAACGTCGCCACCGCTGTCGCCATCGGTATTGGGTGGGCGTTAAAATGACCACGCGTCAACCCTTCACCACCACCACTGTTTGCCGCTGTAACTGCGAAAAAGAGCTTCATAGCTCATCGGATTCCTCCTCCTCCAGTCTAAATACAAATTCTGATTCTGAGTGGAATGGGAGGGGGGGTCAGAGCCACTCCCCCCAGTGGGCATGCCGATACGTTGCCCGAATGTTGGCCCAACGTTGGCCCAACTTTCCATGTATAATGGGTTGGGGCTGTCCCTCGCTTGTCTCTCTACCTCCTCCCCTCCACCTCCTCCCCTCCACCCCTCCACCTCCTCCCCACCCTCCTCTCCTGCCTCCAGCGTCCCGTGGCGGCGCCGACCGTGTGAAACGGCAAATGTGGCATGCTCACACCGCATCGCACCGCACCGCATCGCACCGCACCGCACCGCACCTGCCCACGAGTCCCGAGACGTCGTCGTAGCTGTCGTAGACCTCGAGGAAGTCGGCGAGGCACGCCACGGCGTCCTCCTCCACGCTGAAGTCGCTGAACGAGATGACCACGCGGCTGCCGTAGGGCACGCGAATGTGCCAGTAGCAGATGCTTCTGTCGCGGTAGGCCGGGTAGTCTGGTGACGTGAAGTCCCTCTGCTGCTCCGTGAAGATGCCTCCGCACTGCTTGCCTAGCGGCGGTGGAAGACGCGGTTTGCCCGCACTCCGGTTTGATCGCGAGCTCGCGCACGCATGCACGCACGCACGCGCGACGCACACGATCGGACTCGAGACAGATCGGTTTTTTTCTGCTGCCAATTGTTGTGAAACGGACCAAAAGAAATTCAAGTGAAAGACAGACGAAGAGAGGAGCGGGGACCGGATGAGAGAATCGCGTCTTGGAGGCGGACACGGAACACCGGGGGAATGAATGAACGATTCGCGGTGGTGGTGGCGACCCGCTCACGGCCAACACCAGTGACGATTATCTGAACCGGTGCTGGGCCTCCCCTAGGTTGGCTCAGCCTCAAACGAGTACCCGGTGCGGTGTGTAAACAAAGGCGGCCGGGCGTGGTGCTGCCCAGAAGAGTCCGTAAAGGCTCCACGGGGCATCTTTGTCCTTGTTTACCCTTGGGGTTGAAGCAGTAGGCGTCCCACCGCTCCTCCTTGTCGATGCGAACCCCGTACTCCACGACGCCCTTGACGCCGAAGCCGCAGTTGTGGCTGGGCTTCACGATGGGGTAACCGACGCGGGCCCCCGCCAGCCAGCCAGCCACGCAGTTGTGCAGGCCTGGGAGGGAGAGAGAGAGAGAGACACACACACCGAAGTCTCCTCTTTTACACAACGCGATTATTAACGAAAGCTAAACAAAATTTTTTTATTGTACCAGGTAAGCCCCCCACCCCCCACCCCCCACCCCACTGAGCTGCTACGTCGGCTCTCTTTTCAGAAGCGATCTGGCTAGCACGAGTGATGGCTCGACGAGGTGGGCTCATCATCATCATCATCAACACGTGGCAATGTTATAGCAGCAGCCAAACAGCTCCGAACGCGTTTGGTGTTGATTCTGAATGTGGAGGGGGGAAGGGGGGGGAACCGGAGGACCTGGAGGAAAATCCACGCGACCACGGGGAGGGAGACGCCGCGAACTCCAAATAAACAGCAGCAGGCGTGAGGGTCAAACGCATAGTATGGAAGTCAGATGATGATAATGAGTGGCACGTGTTATGATCAACGTGATGGTGGCGAGCGGTGAGTGACAGATTTATCGATGGTTGTGATGATGACGGGTGGTATGACGAGTGTTGGTGTGACGAGTGGTGTTGTTGTGACGACGAGTGTTGTTGTGACAAGTGGTGTTGTTGTGACGAGTGTTGTTGTGACGAGTGTTGTTGTGACGAGTGTTGTTGTGACGAGTGGTGTTGTTGTGATGAGTGTTGTTGTGACGAGTGTTGTTGTGACGAGTGTTGGCATGACGAGTGGTGTTGTTGTGACGAGTGGTGTTGTTGTGACGAGTGTTGTTGTGACGAGTGTTGTTGTGACGAGTGGTGTTGTTGTGACGAGTGTTGTTGTGATGAGTGTTGGTGTGACGAGTGGTGTTGTTGTGACGAGTGTTGTTGTTGTGACGAGTGTTGTTGTGACGAGTGTTGGCGTGACGAGTGGTGTTGTTGTGACGAGTGTTGTTGTGACGAGTGTTGTTGTGACGAGTGGTGTTGTTGTGACGAGTGGTGTTGTGACGAGTGGTGTTGTTGTGACGAGTGGTGTTGTTGTGACGAGTGTTGTTGTGACGAGTGTTGTTGTGACGAGTGTTGGTGTGACGAGTGTTGTTGTTGTGATGAGTGTTGTTGTGACGAGTGTTGGTGTGACGAGTGTTGTTGTGACGAGTGGTGTTGTTGTGACGAGTGTTGTTGTTGTGACGAGTGTTGTTGTGACGAGTGTTGTTGTGACTAGTGTTGGCGTGACGAGTGGTGTTGTTGTGACGAGTGTTGTTGTTGTGACGAGTGTTGGTGTGACGAGTGTTGTTGTGACGAGTGGTGTTGTTGGGACGAGTGTTGTTGTTGTGACCAGTGTTGTTGTGACGAGTGTTGTTGTGACGAGTGTTGGTGTGACGAGTGTTGTTGTGACGAGTGGTGTTGTTGTGACGAGTGTTGTTGTTGTGACGAGTGTTGTTGTGACGAGTGGTGTTGTGACGAGTGTTGTGACGAGTGGTGTTGTTGTGACGAGTGTTGTTGTGACGAGTGTTGTTGTTGTGACGAGTGTTGTTGTGACGAGTGTTGTTGTTGTGACGAGTGGTGTTGTGACGCGTGTTGTTGTGACGAGTGTTGTTGTTGTGACGAGTGTTGTTGTTGTGACGAGTGTTGGTGTGACGAGTGTTGTTGTGACGAGTGTTGTTGTTGTGACGAGTGTTGTTGTTGTGACGAGTGTTGGTGTGACGAGTGTTGGTGTGACGAGTGTTGTTGTGACGAGTGTTGTTGTTGTGACGAGTGTTGTTGTGACGAGTGTTGGTGTGACGAGTGTTGTTGTGACGAGTGTTGTTGTGACGAGTGTTGTTGTTGTGACGAGTGTTGTTGTTGTGACGAGTGTTGTTGTGACGAGTGTTGTTGTGACGAGTGTTGGTGTGACGAGTGTTGTTGTGACGAGTGTTGTTGTTGTGACGAGTGTTGGTGTGACAAGTGTTGTTGTGACGAGTGTTGTTGTGACGAGTGTTGGTGTGACGAGTGTTGTTGTGACGAGTGATGTTGTTGTGACGAGTGTTGTTGTGACGAGTGGTGTTGTTGTGACGAGTGTTGGTGTGACGAGTGTTGGTGTGACGCGTGTTGTTGTGACGAGTGGTGTTGTTGTGACGAGTGTTGTTGTTGTGACGAGTGTTGTTGTGACGAGTGATGTTGTTGTGACGAGTGATGTTGTTGTGACGAGTGGTGTTGTTGTGACGAGTGTTGTTGTGACGAGTGTTGTTGTGACGAGTGTTGTTGTGACGAGTGATGTTGTTGTGACGAGTGGTGTTGTTGTGACGAGTGTTGTTGTGACGAGTGTTGTTGTGACGAGTGATGTTGTTGTGACGAGTGGTGTTGTGACGAGTGGTGTTGTGACGAGTGTTGTTGTGACGAGTGGTGTTGTGACGAGTGGTGTTGTGACGAGTGTTGTTGTTGTGACGAGTGTTGTTGTGACGAGTGGTGTTGTTGTGACGAGTGGTGTTGTGACGAGTGTTGTTGTGACGAGTGGTGTTGTTGTGACGAGTGTTGTTGTGACGAGTGTTGTTGTTGTGACGAGTGTTGTTGTGACGCGCCCCACCGGCCCTCTGCGCCGTGCGGAGCTGCTCCACCGTGGCGAGGTCCCCGCCCTCGAAGCGGCAGACGGCGCGCGCCTCGCGGAACGAGAGGCGGTAGCGGCCCTGCCGCGCCTCGCGGTGGTACACACCCGCAGCGCTCTCTACGGGGTCACACCACGGGGGGCACCACGGGGAGACACCACGGGGGTCACGGGGTCACACCACGGGGGTCACGGGTCACACCACGGGGAGACACCACGGGGGGCACCACGGGGAGACACCACGGGGGTCACGGGGGCACACCACGGGGTCACACCACGGGGGTCACGGGGGCACACCACGGGGTCACACCACGGGGGTCACGGGGTCACACCACGGGGGTCACGGGTCACACCACGGGGAGACACCACGGGGAGACACCACGGGGTCACACCACGGGGGTCACGGGGTCACACCACGGGGGTCACGGGTCACACCACGGGGAGACACCACGGGGAGACACCACGGGGGGCACACCATGGGGGACAACCACGGGGGTCACGGGGGGACACCACGGGGGACAACCACGGGGGTCACGGGGAGACACCACGGGGGTCACGGGGGGACACCACGGGGGTCACGGGGGGACACCACGGGGGGGGGGGGGTGCCGCAGCGGTCAAAGATGGAAAGGTCACTCTAGACTACAAACTCAGCTATTTTTGTATTTTACCAGGTGAAGCCCACTGAGCTCTTGTTCAAATGCGACCTGGCCACAAATGATAGCACAACGAAACGGCTTATCACGTGGAAATGTATAGCGGCCAAATACTCTGAACGCGTGACGTTGATTCTAAACGTGGGGGAGAAAAACCTGAGGCCCCGGAGAAAAATCCAAGCGACCACGGCAAGAGAGAGACACCGCACACTCCAAATATACAGCAGCAGCAGCAGGCGTCAGTTTCTGGATCGAACCACGACCTCTTGTACACCAGGCGAAGTAGTGAACATCTCCTAGCCACCTTGTTGTGGGATAGGGCGGTAGGGTGGGGGTCGGTTATGGAGAGGTCAACTCTCCTGCTTTTGCACGGCTGACGTGGACGCAGACCAACAACTGCAGCTTCACATTCGGGCGAGCAAGCCGGACAACCGCGTCACGAGCAGCGGAGGTCACTGATGATGGGCCAGTGATGAAAGCGGGTTGCAGATGGAAGGGGTCACTGATAATGGGGGGTTCACTGACCGAGGTCATTGATGCAAGCAGTCACTGATAGGGGTTAGTTATCGAAGGGGCTCACTGCTACGGGTCAATGATAGGGGTCAATGTTAGGGGTCAATGATAGGGGTCGATTTTGGAAGGGGTCACTGATCATCATCTCTGAACTCTATCCTCCCTCTCCGGTTCGCGTATTACACCTCTTATTCGCTTTAATTCCTCAAGCATCCATCTGAAGCGATCACATTTGCCTTCAGCGCTGTGATCCATCGTCTAACGCTGAATCAGATCAATCTCAGTTGGGCATTCATCTCTCACACTATCATCTGAAGGCAATGGGTTCTGTACTCGTTCCATAGTAAATATTATTTCCCCCCCATTCAAGGCAGTGTTCTATATATGATTTAAAAAAACACGTCTGAATTTGTCATCTGTTCCACTTCGGAATCCCCTCCTCCCATCATGATCTACCCCCCTCCCCACCCTCCCAATTCTTATTTTAACAATAATAACAACCTTGCTTGTTGTTGGCCACTCGGCTTTTGGGTTCTGCGGCGAGCAACTTTAAAAATATAAACTCACAACAACACCCACCCACCCAGCGTGACTCCCAGCATCGCCGTCTCTCCCACTCCGCGCCGAGAATTAGAACGCGTGGCGCGCGCTTGGGAGTGCGCGCGCGACGGTGGTATAGTGGTGAGCATAGCTGCCTTCCAAGCAGTTGACCCGGGTTCGATTCCCGGCCGTCGCAAGATATATACTTTTTTAAATCTCACAAACTTCAGTTTGCGGATCACATTTTGTCGTGTGTGTGTGTGTTTTTTTTTAATCGATAGGGTTATTAAGACGCGCGCGCCGGAAAGCGCGTTTTCATTTGGATGGCGCTACATCGGTCCGCGCCGTCCCGCGCCCGCGGAGCGGTGGAGGCGGTCCGGGGGGGGGCGTGGTGCGCCCCCTACTGATGGCGATGCGATCAGTAGGGGGCGTCCCATGGCAGGGCCCACGGCAGGTCAAATGGGAGGGGACTCAATCTTTCAGATTCAATGTTGGGATTCAATGTCATTGCCCACCTCCTCCACCCGCCGTCACAAAACGACCACTGCTGATGTTATACAAAGCGGCACAAATGCGATCGCGATCCCCAGACGGATGATGGTGATGATGATGGTGATGATGACGGTGGCTATGACGTCAAAGCTGCAGCTGCTGTTGCTTCTGTGGAAGCTGCTGCTGCTGATGATGATTATAACGACGATGATTGTGTCGACGCCTAAAGGTAGATGAGATACGTTCAGCTCGTGACAAACTCACAACCTCCCTTCTGCTGGTCGCCATCATGAGCGATCCCGCTCTGTTGTGTGAGCGCAGCCACAGGCCCCTTGTCAATCCACTGCTGGGACATACTTCACCACGCCGGTCATTGCGGATAGTGAAGGGGGGCCCGGTGGTTCCAAGAAACCGGTTCAACAAGATACCACTCGCTCCTGGCGTTGTTACACGTGCGGCGGCGGGGGGGATAGCGCTAATCACAGCACCCACCGCTCTACCGCCCAGTCGCGGATAAGCATCGCGTGGACGAGGCGGCGTCTCAATGAAGACGAAGTGTCTGCTGATGCTGGCCAAGTACAAATCACAAAGACGACTCAACAAATGTGTCGATAAAGGACGTTTCGAGCAATGACCCTTCTTCACGGCACCACAAATATATGGAGTGGACACGAGCTGGGGACTGCGCTTAACACCGTGAGGTGGACCTGTTAAGAATGAGAGTTTCTAAAAAAAGTTTCACGATGACCAGTTTGTTGCTTTAATTGGCACGTGTATTTTAACCTATTACGGAACAACACCCCGGTTTGCGTCGGGGATGCGTTTCTAAAACACCGAAACAACGTCAATCGAAGCGATGCACGGCGGGTTAGTGGATGGAGACGGAGGCTAAGAGGCGGCGGATAACGAGAAGAGGCGTAAGTGTGGTGGGTGAAAGTGTGGGCACTCACTACACAACTCCCCCTCGAGAGGAGGCTCTCCAAACCTCCCCCCCCCCCTCTTCCGGCAGCAGTGTTGTGAGCGACACATTTGCAGAGCTGCGCCTTTGACCTCTTACAGCGAATCTGTCAATGCCCACCGCTGGATCGACGCCTCCGCACGTCCTGCGATATCGTGGTGGTGGTGGAGTTAACCATACTTCACCACGCTGGTCGACGAGGTTTGGTGAAGGCGGGGAGCATAGAAGTGGGCACCGCAGTATTATACAACAATGGAGGGATTGTGCTGCAGTGGCGACGCAACGAAGCGCGTACCAGGTGGGAACACGGAACGGACGTTGAAAAGTCGTCTCGAGTGCGATGCGATTTTAAAAACTGAGCCGTGGCGTTCAAACGAGTTGGGACTTTACCCGTGGCGAACTCCTCAATCTCTCTTTCTGTCTCTCTCGCTCTCTATCTGTGTCTCTCTCTCTGTCTCTATGTCTCTCTCTTAGTGTCTCTCTCTGTGTCTCTCTCTGTGTCTCTCTCTCTGTCTCTCTCTGTCTCTCTCTGTGTGTCTCTCTCTGTCTCTCTGTGTGTCTCTCTCTGTCTCTCTCTCTGTCTCTCTCTCTCTCTCTGCCTCTCTCTGTCTCTATGTCTCTCTCTCTTAGTGTCTCTCTCTGTGTCTCTCTCTGTCTCTCTCTGTCTCTCTCTGTCTCTCTCGCTCTCTATCTAAGGTCAAGGTCTATCTGTGTCTCTCTCTCTGTCTCTATGTCTCTCTCTCTTAGTGTCTCTCTCTGTGTCTCTCTCTGTGTGTCTCTCTCTGTCCCTCTCTCTCTGTCTCTCTCTCTGCGTCTCTCTCTGCCTCTATATGTGTGTGTCTCTCTCTGTGTCTCTCCGTGTGTGTGTCTCTCTCTGTCTCTCTCTCTCTCTGTCTCTATGTCTCTCTCTCTTAGTGTCTCTCTCTGTGTCTCTCTCTGTGTGTCTCTCTCTGTCCCTCTCTCTCTGTCTCTCTCTCTGCGTCTCTCTCTGCCTCTATATGTGTGTGTCTCTCTCTGTGTCTCTCCGTGTGTGTGTCTCTCTCTGTCTCTCTCTCTCTCTATGTCTCTCTCTCTTAGTGTCTCTCTCTGTGTCTCTCTCTGTGACTCTGTCTCTCTTTGTCTCTATGTCTCTCTCTCCCTCTCTTAGTCTCTCTCTGTGTGTGTCTCTCTCTCTGTCTCTCGCGTACTCACCGAGCCAGATGGAGTTGTGCCAGATCCCGTTCCTGAACCCCCACGCGTCCCCGAAGCGGGGCTCACAGACGAGGAGGAGGAGGACGGTGACCACCGACGGCACGAGCGCGGGGCTCCGCATAGCTCCGCGAGTTCCTCGTGACCCCGAGTTGTTCCTCGTGACCCCGAGTTGTTCCGCGAGTGACCCCGAGTTGTTCCTCGTGACCCCGAGTTGTTCCTCGTGACCCCGAGTTGTTCCTCGTGACCCCGAGTTGGTCCGCGAGTGACCCCGAGTTGTTCCTCGTGACCCCGAGTTGTTCCTCGTCACCCCGAGTTGTTCCTCGTGACCCCGAGTTGTTCCTCGTGACCCCGAGTTGGTCCGCGAGTGACCCCGAGTTGGTCCGCGAGTGACCCCGAGTTGGTCCGCGAGTGACCCCGAGTTGTTCCTCGTGACCCCGAGTTGTTCCTCGTGACCCCGAGTTGTTCCTCGTGACCCCGAGTTGGTCCGCGAGTGACCCCGAGTTGTTCCTCGTGACCCCGAGTTGTTCCTCGTGACCCCGAGTTGTTCCTCGTGACCCCGAGTTGGTCCGCGAGTGACCCCGACTCTCGCGATCTGTGTCGTTGACAGAGACCGGCGTAATACGTGAATGGGGTTGTTGTTGTTGTTTGTATATAATAAAAAAATATTTGAATGCGTAATCTCGCTTGCGGGTCTGTGACTGGTTGAGTCGGCGTGCCTGGCCGTGCGTGTGGTGCCGCGAGAGAGCTGTCTGTCGACTGGGGAGGGGGGTCACCGTCTCTCGCTCGCTCCCCGTGTGCGTCACCGGGGCTCTGCTCGTTGCAGGGTCCTGGGAGTGCGGATTGTTTCTCCTCGTTTATAAAGCGACCCCCCTCCACCCCACTCCCCTCTTACTCCCCCCTCCTCCTCCTAACTCCCCCGATTTCTCTCTGGACTCCTTCTACACCGCCACCACCACCACCCCTGCTGCTGCTGACGGGGTCACCCACAGCTCTCCCCCACGCCCCGCCATCACGAGCACTGCCATGCATCAACTTACACAGCCGTCATCGATGCCGCACGCGTTCGTCAATAACACTGCCATAGAGTGACAGCAACATGTGTATGATAGGCGACGGTTCGGGCAATGATCCTTTTTCATAGCCGATAACAATCAATGACACTTTCCCCCACACTGACTTTGACAATATTTCTCCTACATCAACAACATAACCATGAGCACCATCACCACTACCAAATTACACTCCACAACAACACCACCATCATCACTGCACTACACTGTACCACACATGTCAACACAACCCCCCACCATCACCCCAATGATTACTATCATCATCATCTCGCTATCCTTCATCACACCTCCAGACAGCACATCACCAGCATCTTCACGTCTACCACCACCACCACCACGTCTACCACCACCACCACCACCACGTCTACCACCACCACTACATCTACCACCACCACCACGTCTACCACCACCACCACCACATCTACCACCACCACCACGTCTACCACCACCACATCTACTATCACCACCACGTCTACCACCACCACATCTACCACCACCACATCTACCACCACCGCCACATCTACCACCACCACCACCACCACCACGTCTACCACCACCACATCTACCACCACCACCACATCTACCACCACCACATCTACCACCACATCTACCACCACCACCACCACATCTACCACCACCACATCTACCACCACCCACCCTCCCCCGCACCGTCCCATGGGTAGAGTCGCCCCCCCCCTTCCACCCCCCTACTAACAGCTTCCAGACGCAGCCCCCGCGGCACTCAAATACAACTTCGTTAGAGAGACGGAGGAGAGAGGTTGGTGGAGGGTGGAGGTGGAGAGATGAGGTGGTGATGGCGGTGGTGGAGAGACGAGGGTGGTGATGTAAAGACGATGGTGGGGGTGGAGAAACGAGGTTGTGGTGGTGGTCGACAGACGAGGGTGGTGGTGGTAGTGGAGGTGTAGAGACGAGGGTGGTGGTGGTGTAGAGACGAGGGTGGAGGTGGTGGTGGTGTAGAAACGAGGGTGGTGGTGGTGGTGGAGAGACGAGGGTGGTGGTGGTAGTGGAGGTGTAGAGACGAGGGTGGAGGTGGTGGTGGTGGTGGTGGAGGGGTGGTGGTGGAGAAACGAGGTTGTGGTGGTGGTGGACAGACGAGGGTGGTGGTGGTAGTGGAGGTGTAGAGACGAGGGTGGTGGTGGTGGTGTAGAGACGAGGGTGGAGGTGGTGGTGGTGTAGAAACGAGGGTGGTGGTGGTGGTGGAGAGACGAGGGTGGTGGTGGTAGTGGAGGTGTAGAGACGAGGGTGGAGGTGGTGGTGGTGGAGGGGTGGTGGTGGAGAAACGAGGTTGTGGTGGGGGTGGTGTAGAGACGAGGGTGGTGGTGGTGGGAGTGGTGTAGAGACGAGGGTGGGAGTGGTGTAGAGACGAGGGTGGTGGTGGGGTTGGGTGGGAGCGAGCGGAGGAGACGGGAGAGGGGTGGATTGAGTTTGTAAACGTGGTGGTGGTTGTGGTGGTTGTTGTTGGTGGTGATGGTGATGGTCGTGGTGGTAGAGTTGTTATGAAGCATGTACATTTGGTGGTGGCGGTGGGGGGGGGGTGATAGCAGAAAATAGTGATGGTAGAACTTCTAATATATAATTTATAATAATGTATATTGTAACATGCACAGTATTAATTCACTCTCAACAAGAGGGGAACCACAGACAAGTGGCAAGGCAGCCACACGGTGAACCGGCGACAACAATTTCCCAAGCTCTGCGGTTCTCTGTATATGAAGGTGTTATCGCCCAATCCAATGGGTCTTTAAATGTGGGTGTAATCCGGAGCGACCGGAGAAAACGCACGCGTGCGAGGGAGCGCCACTCTATCCCATGCAGACTGAATAAGTGAGGTCTAAATTTGCCGTGCGGCCTTCTCCTGGCAAGCCAGGGCAGGCGAACCTCCTGGACGCCCACGGGAAGGGAGTTTCACCACACTCACAGAATGAAGAATGTAAGTGTGGTGGCGGTGGTGGGCGGGGGAGGTGATGGTCGTCGTGGTGGTGATGATGAAGGGTCGTGGTGGTTGTGATGATTGTGGTGGTGGTGGTGATGGTGGCGGTTGAATAATAAAGTTGATGTATCGTTTAAAAAATATATTTTCATCATAATTATATTTTTCCATTGCTCGAGCTCTTTTAAAACTGGCCACCACCACTGCATGCTGTTTTATGAGATACTGAATGTTGAAACCACTCCTTGCCTACAAACATCTGAAAGTTCCCCAGTATTCATTCAAGCAAGCCGGACTGCTGATGAGACGCTGGACTGTCGAAACCAGTCCAGAGTTTCGCTTGAGTTCAACGAAATACTGTTGAAATGATGCACTTCCAGGAAGCCGTGTGGCTGATAGGATGTGTACAAACAATGTTTTTATTTGTTTTGTGGATAAATGAATACAAGGACGCCAATTGCTTGCTGATTTATTTTGTAATGTATTTATTCTCCATGACGACGCAAATGAATGATGATGATGATGTTGGGCATTAAATAGTGGGATAGCCCAGCTATTGTTTTTGGTCTCAGTTCGGAACTTTACCGAAGTGCAAACAAAGTTAACCCCCCACGTGACAAAACCCAGATGATGACTTAACTTTGGGGCCACACAACTGCGCCAATTTCACCCAATTCTGACGGTGAGGGCGGGCAAAAATTGAGAAAATCTGCAGCAGCTGCCCAACGTTTCGCACGAATTGAAAGAGGGGGAGGGAAAAATTAAATCGTAAGGGTGGATTGTTACACTCGCGTACGCAACAAAGCGCACACTTTTGAAAGAAGAAGACAAAAGCACCCCGGATTTTGTGGATAAAAAAACACAGATCTCGCTCGACATAGCTGCTTGTGTGTTAGTGTGTGTGGCTGTGTGTTGGTGTGTGTGGCTGTGTTAGTGTGTGTGGCTGTGTGTTAGTGTGTGTGGCTGTGTGTTGGTGTGTGTGGCTGTGTGTTGGTGTGTGTGGCTGTGTGTTGGTGTGTGTGGCTGTGTGTTAGTGTGTGTGTCTCTGTGTTAGTGTGTCTGTGTGTTAGTATGTGTGGCTGTATGTTGGTGTGTGTGGCTGTGTGTTAGTGTGTGGCTGTGTGTTAGTGTGTGTGGCTGTGTGTTAGTGTGTGTCTGTGTGTTAGTGTGTGTGGCTGTGTGTTAGTGTGTGTGTCTGTGTGTTAGTGTGTGTGGCTGTGTGTTAGTGTGTGTGTCTGTGTGTTAGTGTGTCTGTGTGTTAGTATGTGTGGCTGTGTGTTGGTGTGTGTGGCTGTGTTAGTGTGTGTAGCTGTGTGTTAGTGTGTGTTAGTGTGTGTGTCTGTGTGTTAGTGTGTGTGGCTGTGTGTTAGTGTGTGTAGCTGTGTGTTAGTGTATGTGTCTGTGTGTTAGTGTGTGTCTGTGTGTTAGTGTGTGTGGCTGTGTGTTAGTGTGTGTGTCTGTGTGTTAGTGTGTGTGGCTGTGTGTTAGTGTGTGTGTCTGTGTGTTAGTGTGTGTGGCTGTGTGTTAGTGTTTGTGTCTGTGTGTTAGTGTGTGTGTCTGTGTGTTAGTGTGTGTGGCTGTGTGTTAGTGTGTGTAGCTGTGTGTTAGTGTGTGTGTTTGTGTGTTAGTGTGTGTGTCTGTGTGTTAGTGTGTGTGTCTGTGTGTTAGTGTGTGTGGCTGTGTGTTAGTGTGTGTGTCTGTGTGTTAGTGTGTGTGGCTGTGTGTTAGTGTGTGTGTCTGTGTGTTAGTGTGTGTGTCTGTGTGTTAGTGTGTGTGGCTGTGTGTTAGTGTGTGTGGCTGTGTGGTAGTGTGTGTTAGTGTGTGTGTGTCTGTGTGTTAGTGTGTGTGGCTGTGTGTTAGTGTGTGTAGCTGTGTGTTAGTGTGTGTGTCTGTGTGTTAGTGTGTGTGTCTGTGTGTTAGTGTGTGTGGCTGTGTGTTAGTGTGTGTGTCTGTGTGTTAGTGTGTGTGGCTGTGTGTTAGTGTGTGTAGCTGTGTGTTAGTGTGTGTGTGTGTCTGTGTGTTAGTGTGTGTGGCTGTGTGTTAGTGTGTGTAGCTGTGTGTTAGTGTGTGTGGCTGTGTGTTAGTGTGTGTCTGTGTGTTAGTGTGTGTGGCTGTGTGTTAGTGTGTGTGTCTGTGTGTTAGTGTGTGTGGCTGTGTGTTAGTGTGTGTGTCTGTGTGTTAGTGTGTCTGTGTGTTAGTATGTGTGGCTGTGTGTTGGTGTGTGTGGCTGTGTGTTAGTGTGTGTAGCTGTGTGTTAGTGTGTGTTAGTGTGTGTGTCTGTGTGTTAGTGTGTGTGGCTGTGTGTTAGTGTGTGTAGCTGTGTGTTAGTGTATGTGTCTGTGTGTTAGTGTGTGTCTGTGTGTTAGTGTGTGTGGCTGTGTGTTAGTGTGTGTGTCTGTGTGTTAGTGTGTGTGGCTGTGTGTTAGTGTGTGTGTCTGTGTGTTAGTGTGTGTGGCTGTGTGTTAGTGTTTGTGTCTGTGTGTTAGTGTGTGTGTCTGTGTGTCTGTGTGTTAGTGTGTGTGGCTGTGTGTAAGTGTGTGTGTGTCTGTGTGTTAGTGTGTGTGGCTGTGTGTTAGTGTGTGTGTCTGTGTGTTAGTGTGTGTGTCTGTGTGTTAGTGTGTGTGGCTGTGTGTTAGTGTGTGTGGCTGTGTGTTAGTGTGTGTGTGTCTGTGTGTTAGTGTGTGTGGCTGTGTGTTAGTGTGTGTAGCTGTGTGTTAGTGTGTGTGTCTGTGTGTTAGTGTGTGTGTCTGTGTGTTAGTGTGTGTGGCTGTGTGTTAGTGTGTGTGTCTGTGTGTTAGTGTGTGTGGCTGTGTGTTAGTGTGTGTAGCTG